ACAGTGTGTGTGTGTGTGTGTGTGTGTGTGTGTGTGTGTGTGTGTGTGTGTGTGTGTGTGTGATGCAGTGCTACAGTGTGGATGGAGCCACTGCAAACACTTTCTAAATCAGTTTTATTGCTTTTGAGTTGACTCTGTGAACTTAGTGTTATACAACTGTGCATCGGTGTCTTATTTCAAGGTTTAGTAGTCTCTTATGTGGCATTTCTTAATACAGCTGTGTACTCGATTGTCATTGAAAAGAGGAAAAAACTCCTAATCTCTATGTGTTTCAGCAGGAGATGCCGGCGCCGCCTCTCCTGCTGTTCAGGAAGCTGAGTAACCCCGACCTGTCTCCTGCCGCAGGAAAGACCAAACTGCAGCGACAGCTCAGTCAGGATGACACCAGAGCCCGACGCTGCAGTATGGCTGGCATCCTCACCGGTGAGAATCCACCCCCCCCAACCTTTTGCTTTTAAAATCTTCCGAAATTTGTCTAAAGCCTGATGATCATGTTATGCAACATGATTTGAGCACACCACGTGCTTCAATGGAAGCAAGAGTATTTGACCTTCTGTGCAATTTTTAATGTCACAAATTTGCTTTCATTCAATAAGTGATTTTACAAAGACTGCAGAATTTGGTTCACATTATTTAAAAGCTGTCAGAGAGAATCTGTGGCTTGGCTTTGATTTGGTTTGACCACAGAACACACACACAAAACAAGAAACAACTATGTCCTAATTCTGTTTCCTCTGTGTGCCGCAGGAAAGCAGCTTCTGCCTCTGTCCAGCAGCATGCATGGTGGAGTGAGTCAGCTGGCCTGGCAGCAGCACACAGGAGAACCCAATAACTTGGTCCGCATGAGGAGTCAATCCTTTGGCCAGTCTGCCCCCTCTCTCACTGCGGGACTGGTGAGTACATGTGCACCACGCATGCGCACAAACCCTCTCTGTCCGCTTCCATCCAACGCAAGCAGATGCAAACACAGGGTCCAAAATTACCCAAAATGCAAGTGAAAATCTGACAAATGCAAGTAAAAGTGTTAAGGAACTGCAACATACTACTTGGTATAAATCAAATTTGTAATAATGATAGTGTGACCATCAGTGTAAAAACCTCCATGTGGCCTTTTCATTGGCCCATGTGGCTAACAAAAACGAAAACCGTAAAAACATTTTTGTTACTTGAAAAAAATATTAACTGAAATTAAATAAAATAATAAAAAACTTAGCCATATTTGCCAAGAAAATGTTTCTTATTTTTATTTAGTATAACTTATAACTAAAATAAATAACAATACTAATTCAATTATAGTAATCAATTGTACTAAAATAACGCTGGTGGCAAAAGGTTAAAATCGAAGTAGTGAATTTCAAATAACTGACACGATGCTGATGAATGAATAGGATACAGTAGCTCACAGATGCAAATTTACTCCTTATCAAGTACCTCTGAGTCAGATCACGTTGTTGCAGATTCTGTAATGATCTTTTTTATTTTCATTGTATATCTGAGTAAATGCAAAGGCAGTTTAGGTGTGGCTGGTCTGTGTGAGTTTATAGAGGTGTAGATGTGAAGAAAAGTATATAGTGTCAATTACAGCAATATACCTTTATCTGATGAGGTCTTGTACCTGCTATATGTGCAGAAGATGTGTTGGCAATCATTTTTTTGTGCAATCTAAAGCCTAGTGCCATAGCTACATCTGCTGCCCAAGCCTAGTACTACACCATTGAAAATGGGGAAATAGCTAAATGGAAGCCCAATGATTAAGTTTTGGTTATTATGTAATATAAATGAATCAACATATATAATTATATAATAATTTATAATTATATATAGTATATAATTGCATAATATTAGTAAAAAGTGTGTGTGTGTGTGTAATCTTTTTTCTTTTTGATCTACTTGAACATTTCCCAATTTAAATTTTTTGGATGTACAGGTGCATCTCAATAAATTAGAATGTCGTGGAAAAGTTCATTTATTTCAGTAATTCAACTCAAATTGCGAAACTCGTGTATTAAATAAATTCAATGCACACAGACTGAAGTAGTTTAAGTCTTTGGTTCTTTTAATTGTGATGATTTTGGCTCACATTTAACAAAAACCCACCAAATCACTGTCTCAACAAATTAGATTATGGTGACAATGCCAATCAGCTAATCAACTCAAAACACCTGCAAAGGTTTCCTGAGCCTTCACTGATTTCATTTTCCAGCAGGATTTGGCACCTGCCCACACTGCCAAAAGCACCAAAAGTTGGTTAAATGACCATGGTGTTGGTGTGCTTGACTGGCCAGCAAACTCACCAGACCTGAACCCCATCACCAGACCTGAACGTATTGTCAAGAGGAAAATGAGAAACAAGAGACCAAAAAATGCAGATGAGCTGAAGGCCACTGTCAAAGAAACCTGGTCTTCCATACCACCTCAGCAGTGCCACAAACTGATCACCTCCATGCCACTCCGAATTGAGGCAGTAATTAAAGCAAAAGGAGCCCCTACCAAGTATTGAGTAAATGTACAGTAAATGAACATACTTTCCAGAAGGCCAGTAATTCACTAAAAATGTTTTTTTTATTGATCTTATGAAGTATTCTAATTTGTTGAGATGGTGAATTGGTGGGTTTTTGTTAAAAGTCAAAATCATCACAATTAAAAGAACCAAAGACTTTAACTACTTCAGTCAGTGTGCATTGAATTTATTTAATACACAAGTTTCACAATTTGAGTTGAATTACTGAAATAAATGAACTTTTCCACAACATTCTAATTTATTGAGATGCACCTGTAGTCTTTTGTGGCATGCTGGACCTTTTTAATGACTGTATAATAAGGTTACTAGATAGAAATGGACTATTAATACTTAGTCCACTTAGTAAACAGCAAACAAAGGTAAAGCATTCGTGTTTCCCTATACTGAGTTTGCTATTTTCAGATTCTTAAGTCCACCACTGTCTGATAAATTGCAAGTCACAGTGTGTATGAGTGGATTTGCTTTACACTGCTCTTGTTGGCATACAGAACTGAAAGCCTTGTACATAATACAGAGAGCTCTGTGATGCTCATGGTTGTTTCTAACCATGAGGTGGCAGCATTGGCCACTGATGTAAAACTAAACAGTACAAATCTTGAATGAATAAAGTGCTACGACTGTGTGATTATCTCAGCCCTTATGTTTATGGATGAATAATGTACTCACCACTGCAGTGTAGCACACTGTCCTAATAAAGTAGCAATTGATATGCCAGTGCTGCAGCAGACCCTATTTAAAAGACCTTGTCTGTTGAAAGAGAAGCCATGAACACACTAATTGCTGCTTATTAGGCGTTCTATGCCAGCAAACACTAGCATGCTGATATTAAGATGTAATAGTCCACAGTTATTTAAAGTTGCAACTTGCAAGACTACTTTTATGCTGTTTGACAGTATGCTGGATAATATAAAGTTTGTTTGTGCCATTAAAATGACTGCATCAACATATTTCAACTGTAATTTAAAGGCCTGTTGATTTGAATTCATCACTGTTTTATATGACACATAGCCTTTGGATGATAAATTCCTATGCACATCAAGTAAGAGGCATCATGAATATGATATCCATCATGATGCAGCAGTATATCAAGTTTTTAAAAGGAAGTTATTAATTTGAATATGTGTGCAATCTATTTGACAAATCATTTTTCAAATAGATTGCAATACTATATAAAGCAGCTTCCATAAAAAATGCTAGTGAAAATATAACCTGCTGAGCTGCAGCTGCTGCTTCTTCTTTTTCTTTATTTACATAAATAATCATATTTTTTCTGGCTCACTCTTTGTAGATGCACATACTGGTTATTAGGAAATTATGTGTTGTAGACATTATGGTGAATGAAGTTGACAATAGAAGTACAGTTTAAAAAATATTGACATCAGAGACAGTCTGAAATCTGATCACATTATCAATATTTTATATTACTGTAATAGCTATTTTGGCTGGAAAATTTAATGAAAATAATTTTCTTGTGGCAATTAATTTTATAAATGATCTATTGGGCAATCCAGTGAATTATATACATTACAGATGAAAGTTACTTGAACTCATTTTATTATTTTCTCTTTTTATTCGGAACTTGATGGACGCCAACTAAAAGATTTCATTATCCATAGCAAATGAAAGAGTCTGATTATTAGGTCCTCATCTTGAATCGTTTGGGACAAGTCCTGCTCTGCATTTTCAATTCTGCCCACTGATATCCAACATATTTAACAGGATATAAATCTTTACCGGTTGACACAATTATGGTTAATGCCACGAGCTTTGCAAGTAGGGTGCTATTTTTCTTCTCATTCATAGACCTAATAATGTGGTAAAGGAAATGACCCGGTGTTGGTTTATCCTGTGGTGATGTAGTTCATAATGCTCAGATCCAGGCTGTGAAGGCCGGGGGTGCTGCTTCTGTGCTGCTTTATTGTATGAGACGTGAGAGAGACATAGAAGAGGGAATGGAGTGACTTACAGGGAACCATGCAGGACAGGCAGATGGTGTTTACCTTCCAACTACAAGCATGGAGTGGTGGTGTGTGTTTTGTGCAAGCAAATTTTTTTTTTTTTTTGGGGGGGTATGTGATTTTTGTGACATGAACCAGTGCTTATGCAAAATTATTCATCTGATTGGTTTTCATAAGATTTATTGTTCTGCCAACAAGTTACCCACAGTGGCAGACAAGGTGCTGGAAATAGCATTACTCATTGAGCTAAGGGATTTGAGCAAACACCATAAGTATTTAACTTGTTACCTACATAAGTGATCAGACTTGCATCTAGGACACGATAAAACGATTAAACAATTAGATTTACATTGAAGGGAGGACCTAAGCCATTTGTTACATAGCAACATGTATAATCATGTGCAATATGCATAATTGTGTAAGTTGTTTCTTTCTTATATTTTTAAGGGATATGATAGCAGGAAATTGTCTTTTGGTTATACACAGGTCGCTGTTGCCTGTTCAGATCTTTTAATGGCACACCTTCAGGGAAGAAAAAGGTTATTTTGTTTTCGTCCTTTGGTGCTCAGTCTAAATTGAGATGGCAGTGAGGCTGGAATAAGTCAACAGTGGCATTAACATACCATGATATTTGCATAATATTTGCATATAGGCTGGGGGAAAAGGCAAGGTTGTTCTAGTACTGTTGGCAATATTCTTATTCATTCCTGTTTCTGAAACTGTATTTTATCATCTACAGAAGAGCGGATAAAGAAGCAGATTCCTAGTTGAAGTGCCTTTTGTACAGAGGATACAAGACTTAAATTGTGCAGTGGTTGTATATTTTAAATGGTGATTTGTTTTCCCCTCCCAGGGAATCTGGTCTTTAGTGTGGTTAATGGAGCTTTTATAGGCAGTTGGAGACCCGCATAAGTAGCTGCGGTTCTCATGAATACACAGTCAATCCTTTGTCACGTAATCTTTTAATGGTAGAGTGAAATCTGTTTCCATCCTTTAAAAATTTTAGCTTGCGCCTATACCTCTTTCTTGATCGATTAATTTTTGAAAAATGTTACCCAGAGGCAATAGGCTTTAACGGACACAAAGAAGACAAAGAAAAACACCAGACTAGTATGTTCTCTCATCTCCCATCATCGAGGTCACAAACAGCCGAAGTGAGTGACTATGTACAGGATTAAATATTCAAAAGGCAATTATGAATAATTACTTGAAAGAGACCCTCCACTGTGCTGCCAACCAACCCAAGGTGACGACACTCATGGCAGCAGTAGAGGCTGCTGGGATCCGTCTTTTTGGTTTCTGTGCTGTTAGCTTTGTTTCTGCAGTATTTACCCACTCTGCTTGTTTTCTTTATCTGGTTATGACAGTTGTTTTTGCTTCTGTTTCTGTCTTCAGGCTTTTAATCTGATGTTCC